TGAGTTTAAGAACATGTGCTTTTGGATGATAGTTCCTGCTGGCATAGTTGAGGATTCCGACCAATAAAAATCTAGGATTGAGCTGTCATTGGACGGAGGTCGATGGGGAATATAAATACTGAAGACAGCTAAGGGATCTCTCTCTTCTCTACAAGTCTACACTACCTGAAGGGAAGATAAATAAGAATTAAATCTGTTTGATTCGTTGGGAACTGTGTTTCCGATTCTCCAGAGAAATGATGAAATAGTTTGAATAAATAATTTTCCAGGCCTAACCTGAAACTACCAGCGACCCAAAAGATATTTGCTCCGGTTCCTGTAATTATCCAGACTTAAATTAGCAACCAGTATTCTAGGCTAAACCCAGGGTTTGTAATTGAAGCCCACACTCCCTTGGCTCCTTATTGATTCCAGGTCGATTCAATATCATTGACCCCTGGTTCATTCTGTAGGTACCGAGGTAAGTATACCTCCTGTACCTTTCCTCACTGTTGCTACTTTGGGTCTCTGTAAAAATATATTTTGTGCAGAGCAGGTTGAGTAAACTATCTCATAAAAAAATCTGGCGCTCGAGAACCCCCCCGCTCCCGTCAAATACCAGAATAGTATCCGTCCTGAACAGAGCGCCAAAGTAAGGGCCTTAAAAATAAAGGCCGTTACAAAAGCTTCTTTCCAGGTGGTTGGGAAGTGTTTCAGCCTCAAAACGGCGTTTGCTATATTAGTAAGGGCTGCTATTCCTCTTCGGGGGAGTTGCTTTGTGGATAATATCTATTCCTGATGCCTTTTTGGTCTTCAGGTTCTTGATGATTCTGTCGATCTCCTCCGGCGAAGCTGGTCGTAGGATTTCATTGGAGTCATAATAGTCGTCTGCGTGTTTACATCGGGCTTCGTGCTGCAGGTCGTCATTTGGGGTAACGTTTTCCACAAATTGGCGCTCTAAGGTGTCGGTTGATGTCAATGCCTTATCCCCGTTTGTGTATGCGATACCGTGTTGTCCTTGGAGGTGTGCTATGGGGGTGGGTCGGTTCCTGAGGAGCTTCTGCATGCTCCAAAAGTTCCCTTCCGGACATGGGCGCCGCCAGGAAAAAATACAGGGGGAGCGGATAGGAGAAAATGTTGAAAACATTCGTGAACCATGAGTTACGACTAGAACCACGAATTATATTTGTATGTAAATAAAATTGAAATAACATTCTTGAAATCATAAGACAACGTAAACAAATACCAATTAAAAATCACATTTGGATCAGGAAAATGGAACATGCAAACCATAATTTTACAAACGTTCAGTTTTCATTCTGAAAATAAAAATTGCAATCCACTTTTATCATTTCTGGCGAATATATTGATTGCTTTTTCAGTAATTTTGAACTTTTCATTGTCTACAGTTTCTTTGTGGACACTCAGAAGGCATAATCCCGTTAGCCTCGATTCTCCAATGGTAGATCTCAGCCATGTTATTTATTATTTATTTTTTGGTACAATACATCCAGCAGGCCCAAAAGCCCATTTACAGGTGTATACAATTTGCATTATAAATGATTATACATATAGCAGAGTCAATTCTGAATGAAATGGAGAATCTCTTTCTTGAATTGTTTGAATGTTAAAAAAAATATATCTACACTAGGAACCTTATTAACACTTCTAGATATAGTAGCTATAGGAAAATGAAAATGCTGCACTGTATTGGAAACAGGAAAATGAAATGTGCTACAGAACCTAGATGAAATACGCGGTACACTGAATAGCATATGAGACAATAGGGGTGAACAATCTATTTGTCCATATATGATTTTATATGCAAAACAGATATCTCGGCTTTCCCTGAATTTCTTTAAAGATATCATATGAAACTCGTCCAACAATGAATCATAGCTATAACCTCTCTCGGGGTAAGCGCCGCGTTTTTTGAAAAATGCATATTTCAAAAACTTTTTTTGAACATTTTTTAAGCTAGATATATATTTCATATGGGACGGATTCCAAATGACACTGCAGTACTCCATTTTGCTTCTGATCAGTGTGAAATAAATGGTTTTCAAGGCATCAAAGGTCCTAAATTCCTTGCAGTTGCGTATCAAAAAGCCCAAACTTTTCATTGAAGTTGATATCACATTCTGAATATGATTGGAGAACGTGAGTTTTTGATCAAACAGAACTCCTAGATCCTTTGATTCCGTGATCCGCATTAAGCTTTCACCATCTAGTACATAGTTGAATGTTACTGGTAGGACTTCACGAGTGAATATCATTATTTTAAATTCATTCGTATTCAAGTACAATTTATTACGGGCACACCAATTAGTCAATGAGTTTAAGTCCTCTTGCAATGTGTGACAGTCTGCTTCATTTTGTATTTCACAGTATATCTTCATGTCATCTGCAAATAGCAGTTTATGAGAGGTGATGTCATCGGCTGTCATTTACAAATAATACAAATAATAATGGCCCAAGATTTGATATACATGTGGTGGGGGGGCATTGATACAAAATGTTTCATTATGGAGCCCACGTCATTCATTTTTTTCAGGTTTTTGGGGTGTACACATGATATTGAAAAGGCTGTTCGCGTATCTCCCGAGAATCGGATTTTTAGGGAAGATATCAAGGAGTCCATATATGGAATGGAAAGAAAAATTCTGAAATAATCTTCTGCAGAAGCCGCCTCAATATTTGTTATATTGATATGACGTTTTACTATGCGACGTTGTTGTTGAATTAATATTTCAAATTCATCGGCAATTTCCATAGATTTTGTGAACATTCCCCCAAAACATTCATTTCCATATTTCCTATTGTTTTCGAATATCTGCAACAAATTATCTATGTGTTTTTGAACATCTAACAAATTCACAGATTTTCCCTGCAAGGTATTGGTAAGTGGCTTCACTGGGATGAGTAATTAGAAATGATGTTCAGACAAATGATAAACGGGGTAGATGACTTACAAGAGAGTTGCTTGGCCTTGCTTCTTGTGGCTTGGTTAAAATCTCTGTTTTGTGGTCAAATCATCTAACAAAGATTCAATTTCAACATTTTCGAAAAATAAACGTATAGATATAGATATATATTTGGCGGTCCATCTAGTTTCAGAGAACAAAGGGATATTGGGAACTAGAGAACGACGGAGTGGACTATCTCGAAGAAAATTGAAGATCTCTTTTATAACACCAACACAGTTTCGAATCTCGCTCACAGAATTCAAATCATTTATCACCAATTCAGTCGATGTGAAGAACAGTGGAAAAATGTTACCTTTGGGTATCGATCTCTAATCAGTTCTTGAACTCGTTTTCTTTTACCGCCATTGTTGAACACCCAACAAATCCTAGCCCCATTAATTTATGCAAATTTAATCTTTAATCATCCACGGTAGAAATAATTGTGTCTGCAATGGTTTTTGCCTCCATACGTGATAGCTCAGTAAACCCCAAGAAGAAATGGGTTTGAAAAAATATCTACGTTACGACATTCGCCTAATTGTAAGTAATTAGAAACATTCTATTCTATAAAACAATACTCCACCTACCGTCAATTGACGTTTGCTCCAGCCCAGAAGATTTCTGATTTATACACAACGCACTACACACTGCACTGAATAATATTGATGATTGATCTCCAGCCAGACGCAACCCTTGCTTGCTGAATGTTGAATGACGCTTGACGCAAGATGGTGAGACAATAATGAAGCGGCCGGCGGGATTTACGCGTTGTCGATAATAGCAATGTTGCCCCTTTTGATGGACAGTTTCCTAGCTCTCCTTTTTTCCCTTAGCAATTTGCGTAGTTCTGGTGGTAGATCATGCTGCAGATTCCATCTGGTGGTGTGTAATTGTTGTGCTTGCTTCCATTACATTTTTGATGTCCTGCTTAAAGGTTCTTGTTGCCTATTCCAGGTCATTTTCTGTGACTATTGGGCATTGGGCCTATTCGGTCATGGAATATTCTCTGGAACATAGTACAGTTGATTTTGTTTTTTTTTGATGGGTGGGTACGGCTCATTTCCTTCTCCTACGTATAGTTGGATTGGGTTTTGGTCAGATGATCCATCGTGGTGGGTGATTTCAACTGGCAGTTCAAGTCCTCGCAGGAGGGCTATATCAATTGTGCTTGAATTGCGGGTATGGTCATATCTGGTGTGGTCTGGTGGGGCTAGCATAGTGGTGTCCTCGCTTCCTTCAAGGTATTCTACAAGTAGTCTCCCTTTCATGTTTGAGGTAATGCAATTCCAATTTTGGAGTCTGGCATTCCAGTCACCGACTGCTATTGTTGGATTTCGACCAGATATAACCGTGTGTATATCTTGTGTGTAATATTGGAGATCTATTTGGGTATCGGATTGGTAAGCTGAAACTATCTGGATGTCGCTGTGGTTTCGTGTTTTCACAGTCGCCATGGTTGCTTCCAGGGAATTCAGTGCTGGGGTGTTGATCGGGTAATGATCGAGGTCCTTTTTGATCAGCAGTAAGGTGCCTCCGCCTCTTCTGCCGATTCGGTCGTTCCTGTAAACAAAATAATTAGTTATATTGAATGTCTTACCTGGAGTGAGTCACGTTTCACGGATCGCCATTGTATCCACAGAATTCCTGGATAGGAATTCTTTCAGTTCCACTTTTCTTGCCTTGGCCCCGTTTATGTTCCAAGAGCCAATGGAAAAGCAGTCCTTCTTATGCGCCATTTCCTACCGGTGATGGCTTGCTGAGTAGTGCAACTCTTTGTTGCACTGCGGTCTCTATGGCCTTCTGGATGAGATCCATGAAGTCCGGGGGTAGGGTTGGGGTTGGGGTTTGTTGAGGGTCTCTGTTGGCATTTTGGGGTTGGGGTTTGGGAGCAGTCGCTGCTGCGTAGGAATTCCCTGGTTGGGTATCTCCACTCCTAGAGAGGGTTTTTGGGGTAGGTTTTTGATTGGGCTTTGGGGGGGTTGTTTTTGTTGCTGGCTTGGGACACTTCGGGCATCCTATGTAATTGGCAGGGTGTTTGCCGCTGCAGTTGGCGCACTAAGCGTCTGTTGTGCGGGGCTTATCACAGGAGGTTGTGGGATATTGGTCTCCGCACTTGACGCATCTGTATAATGCTCTGCAGTTTCGTTGGCTGTGCCCGAACTTCTGGCATCTGTGACATTGGGGAATCTGATTTTTTACCTGTCTTTGAGCTTCAATTCTCACTACATAGCTGCAGCAGTCTTCGACGTCCCAAATTCTGGCTTCGGATTCGGAGACTTGGATGATCACTAGCGGTAAATCCAGCTTAGTCTTATAGGATTTCATCCTATGGACTGTTTTGACTTCAAGTCCCTTACTCTTCAAATCATTTTCAATGTCCGGAATCTCCACACTCATATCGATTCCCCTCATAACTACGCTCAGTAGCTTGTCTTCAGGAAGCGAATATGTGTAATATTCGTGATTATCAGTTCCTAGAATCCTGGTGGCAGTTCTATATTCCGAGGCATCCTTAGTTTGGATTCTCAGTCCTCCTCTCATTAGTTTCACTAATGGGATTTTGATTCCGTGTCTTCAGTACAATCAAGGAATTGTTGGTTTTTTTGGCTGGCTCGTTGTTGCCTTCTTGGGAGGTGGGGGCTGAGGTTGAGGTTGAGGCTTTTGGAGGAGGGCTTGATGAGGCTTTCCTCTTAGTTCCTTTCTGTTGTTCCTCAATTTCCATACTTCCCGGTATGGAAAGTACGATTTTCAAGGGGTTCGGGGAGGGGGAGTGATTTTCTTGTTTATTAAGTCGGTGTTGGCAGACTGTTCCTTAATCATGCTAGCTAGAGCATATAAGGTTTCCGCCTTTCCTTCTTCTCCAGCTTCTATGCATTCTTTGGCCTTCCTTTTAGCTTGCTTAGCTAAAAGGTTTAAGTCTGCTGCGTTCTCAAGGTCCTTGCGCAGCTGTTCGTTAGTCCTAGTTAGGCTTTCTAACAATTTCTGCTGTTGCTCATTCTGGCTTGTCAGCGTTTGAATGAGGGTATTAATATTAGTTGCCCCTTTGGCCTTGGTTTCGCCCGAGTTTCGTCCTACTCTTACTGAGCTCTTCTTTTTCGCCTTGCTGGGGTTGTTTTTATTGACAAACATGTCGCTACTTGGTAGGATGGGAGACATGTTTATTAGTATGTTCGATTTATGGTTTATTGTTTTCGTTCTTCCTCCCTAGGGTTTGCCTTGCATGGCTGTCCCCTTGGGAGAATATTTTTATTGTGTACGAAATTCTATTGAGGGATAGGGGTTGTTTCCTTACTAATTTTTTCTGCTAGGCTAGGATCAGGACGGGTCTTGATGTGAAAGCCCTTGTGTAGGGGCACTACGGTTGAAGACAGTCTCTAGTAACTCAAAGTGAGTTACAGAACGCTGACTCTGCCGTACCTTGCTCTCCACACCTAGACACGTAGACAAGATCTAACTGCTGGGTTTCGAGGCCTTATAGCCGCCTGAAAGGCCGACAGGCTATAAGATTTCAAAGTCGCTGCTTTCTCTGGAATAAATACAGTGTTAGTAAATATATAAAGAAAAATAAATTTATTGAAATCATCGGTATTTAATTGGGCTGACTCAGTTATTGACCGGTCGGCCCAATGGTTAATACACTATAATGAGAATGTAATAATCGCTGGTTGATGATCGCTGGGGTAATCGCTCGATAATGTGATACTAGATATCGGCTAACACACTTATTGAGCGGTTGGCTAAATCCCAGGTAACTCAGGTAGTGTTGACTGTTTTGAGGCAGATCGAACACTCAGAAATGAACTGGTTCTCCAAGGAAAACATTCAGCTATCGCGCCTGACCTGATTAGCTTTCGTATCTTCAAATTAATTTGTTCTGCGTCTTTGCCAGTATGCCTCTTCCTTGGCAGATTCAATTGAATTGGAAATTAAAAAAAAAAAGGATTCTATAATCCTGGATCCATGAAATAACCCATTTGTTATTGGTTATTTTCAACCATTCATTGCTAAAAGCTATGAGACCGCCTGCCAACTGCAAGCTGTTGCTTACCTTTGACGCTTCCTGCGGTTGAATTGATCTGCTCTCGAGTGCACCCCCCTTTGTTGGCCTCGCATCCCTCTGACGATGAGCCGGCGGACCCCTATTTAAAGCCTCCTACGAGGTATTGTAGGACGGATCCTTCCCCACCTTGGCTTTTGGGAATTTTGAATATTGGTCGGTGTTGCCACGGCTGCACACTGTGTCGCCTTCAGGTCTTTGCTGGTCCTTTCTAGTGATCTGGCCGTTTTTTCCCGAAGTTCAGGACCGAATATGAATGTTCCCGGGTTTGTCTTTTCCACCACCTGATTTGCTTAGGATCGGAACTATAAGGGTGCGTCGCACTTGTGAAGTGCTATGTAGCAAGTCAGTCAAAATTCTCTCGGAACCTCCTAGGCATCCGAGCATTTTTCCTTTTATTCCCTTTGGAATATGTTCTTTGTCTGTCAGGATAATGTTGAGACACTTCGCAAGTGCTGATATGCCTCTGCAAAGTTGGGTATGCGTTTCGATGAATGACTGATCTCTTCTTAGGTGTGAGGCAGAGAGGACGCTCAGAATCTCTGGGTTAACCGAGGGTGGAGATAGAATTTCACAATTATGAGGAAAAGTGTATTGTTCAGCCAATTTATTTTTTTCCTGTTTTGGGAGTCCCAGCGACTGCATAGGGCTGAATGCATTTTTTGGATCGTCTCCTAAACATTGTAGGAGGTCATCCGATAAAACTTCATCATTATCCACCTGCAATATTGGCGATGTGCCATCAGCCGGAAGCAAGTTCTCTCCTCTAGGCCCATCTTCCAGGTTTACAAGATTATCTGGCGTCGCGTAGAGCGCTATCGCCCATTTCTTGGAAACTTGAACATGCGCTTGCCGTGATGTTCGAGACACGATCCGCGCTGTCTACTCTTTCTCTGCGAGATTCCGTGCCGCCTGGGCTACGGTCAACTGTCTCTCGGCTTCTGATAACTCGAGACCTTGAACGGCAAACCCTCGTATCGCCAGCCCTGGGGTGCAATTCTCAAGTTGAACGCGTATACAAAGATTGGTCGTCAGCGACAAATTTCGTATGACTAACTCAGACGAATTGGTATTCTCGAACGGTCGGAGTTGAAGCGTATGCGAAATAAGCCGTATACTAGTCATACGACTCTACACGGATGGGTCCAACCTATGCGAAAATTCTAAAGCGAACAAGAAATTTGATGGAACATGCGCATTGTCTGTGGCATTGTGAATTTAGTATTTCATTTTTTATGGGTTATGGTATTTCAACTGGTGATATATATCATATGTTTTTAATCAAATTGCATTTCACAATAAACTCTTGTGATGCTGATTTGAAAATCATCAATGTCTGTGCCAGGTACTCTGGAAGCACCCATGACAGTTTTGTGTGGAATAACAGTGCTGTATTACCATTCATGCAAAATATTCATAGAAATAATAACCAAGTCTTTCTTTTGGACAAGTGATTTCAATATGCATTCAGATGAAAGAACTGTTCTTGGAATTGATGAGTTCACTAATATTTATTTATTGTAGGTGATTCATGACAGCAATTGATAATCCAGGACCAGATTCCCCAGAAGAGAGATTTTATAATAGGCAAAAGAGCACTAGGTCTCTTATTGAAAGGTGTAATGGGGTGCTGAAAATGAGGTTCAGATGTCTCCTTAAACATCGAGTTTTCCATTATAGCCCTGAGAAATGCTCGAAAATTATCAATGCATGTGTTGTTCTACATAATATATGTATAGATAATAACATTCCACCTGTAGTGTTAGGAGAGGAGAATCTTGGTGAGGATGATTTAGGTCAATATGATCATGAAAATAATGCCATATTGCTTCAAAATCCTCGAAATCCAGAACTAATTGCTGGGAGATTATTAAGAGAAAGAATCATCAGAAATCATTTTACATTAAACAATAATTAGAATTCAGATTGTAATGTAATGAATCTGTAATTTTCTGACTTACTCAAATATATTATTATACCTGATTTCCTTTTTTTTGTATATACTGTTACGACCCTGGCAATCGATCCCAGCTACCTGCGGCGGGAAGTAAACAAGCCATATTTCTTGGAATAGTAATTAGGTGATTCGACGGCTATTGGGATGACTCGAGAAGATTATCGACCTGTTCACGATATTTCGAGTGGAATCTAGACGTTTTATTAGGTAATATAAATAGATGTTGTTAGGGACAGGAAGGGAAGTCTTTATTTGGAAGCGTTATAATAACGATCGAAGAAGTGTTGTGAATCGGAAGTGTTTAGTACGAGTATTGTTATTATTGTATAGTAGTGTTCAGAATAAATCGTTTTAAGTGTTCTACCGAGTGTTAAATTATTACGGACCCAGAGTAAAATCGTAACAGTGGTGTCAGAAGTGGGATTTTTCGAGGACATTTGAAGACGTATGGTGAATACAAGGAGTACGTCATACGACGCGATGGAAGACATTTTGAAATTTATGCAAAATCAGTTCGCAGAACAAGAGGAACGACGACAGAAAGAAAAACAAGAGGAGGAGAAACGTCGTCGAGAGGAAAAATTAGAAGAAGAGCAACGTCGTCAAGAAGAGTTACAGAAAATTCTAGAGCATCAAGAAAAAGAACGAGAACATCAGAAAATCTTCTTCGAACAAATTCTGCATAAAACTGATGTGCAAATAAATAAATGCAAAAAGCTCAAAGTCATTTCCACACAGTGTTCATAAACTGAACAACAATGGTAGATTTCGGGAGAAAAACAACTACTTCCCTGGCTAATGCCACGCAGGATATTGAATTACATCCTCCCGAAATCTATGCATCGACTCGTATAAACGAATACTGATACAAGTGATTCTTTCCTGAATGCCCTATTGATTTCGATTAAGCAGGCCGCTAGACAACCACAGACCGGTTTCGAGCTCTTTGACTCTCATCAGTGCAGTGTAGTCTCCAGCCAGCAGTCCTAAGACCGCCGACTCAGCGAAGCCTAGCCAAACAAAAATCAATTTGGCATTTTATCCACCCCGAGGCGTCTTTCATCGACAAAATGAAAATAACGCCATCTGAGTAGAACAGTTGTTCAGTTTATGAACACTGTGTGGAAATGACTTTGAGCTTTTTGCATTTATTCAACATATCATTCCACTTTGAGCATTGTGGCTATTTCGTAGTTGAAATTACGCCAGTCGGGCAACCAGCCACTCCCGTATGGGAATTTCAGTTTTGGAGTGATTCTTTCCTCTGTTCTACTCAGATGGCGTTACTTTCATTTTGTCGATGAAAGACGCCTCGGGGTGGATAAAATGCCAAATTGATTTTTGTTTGGCTAGGCTTCGCTGAGTCGGCGGTCTTAGGACTGCTGGCTGGAGACTACACTGCACTGATGAGAGTCAAAGAGCTCGAAACCGGTCTGTGGTTGTCTAGCGGCCTGCTTAATCGAAATCAATAGGGCATTCAGGAAAGAATCACTTGTATCAGTATTCGTTTATACGAGTCGATGCATA